AACTATTATTCCAACACACAGAAATTGACCACAAAACAAACTCTCCCTGTTAAATGGGGAAAAATCAACATCTATGGGCATGTGGACATCCCTAAATTGTCCAGTCCCATATTCATCATTAAAGAGGGCGGGATATTACGCCTGTCAGTCGCCTGACAAAAAGCATGCACATTTTTACAGCAGCTCGACTCTTCCCTCTCAATTCTCACAGCTCAACTCTTCCCTCTCAATTCTCACAGCTCAACTCTTCCCTCTCAATTCTCACAGCTCAACTCTTCCCTCTCAATTCTCACAGCTCAACTCTTCCCTCTCAATTCTCACAGCTCAACTCTTCCCTCTCAATTCTCACAGCTCAACTCTTCCCTCTCAATTCTCACAGCTCAACTCTTCCCTCTCAATTCTCACAGCTCAACTCTTCCCTCTCAATTCTCACAGCTCAACTCTTCCCGGAACGATTATTTCGTGGTGGTGGAGGTATAGAGAAGGAGATAAAGGTCGCCGAAGTCTCCCAATAACGTTGCATTCTGTGGGAATGGCAAGCGGGTCCCTTCTCAATTATTTTTGGTGGGGAATTGAATTTAAGTTTATTTTATATAAGGGTTTTGTGTATGTGTATATATATAAAGTTAAATATGTTTCATTATATAATTCATTATTCTACACATCACTGGATTTTTTTCATTTGATTTGCTGAAAGTTGTGTCGAATTATTGGGCGTTTTGTGAAATTGTAGTAATATTCTGTCATTATAAATACTAAATAGTCGAAAATTTGTCGAACAATTTTTATCTGTAGCTTTTTAAAAAAATTCCTTATATTCCTAGTGAACTCCCCCAATTAAACACCAATACCATAAGCCAAAAAGATTATTTACAAAGTCCTAGGTTTAGGGAGGGGAAGACGCATTGGCTGCCACCAATCACGAGGATAGAAGCCCCTTTAGCTGTATTGGTAAAAATTACATAATCTGTAATGTCATTACAATATAATTTTATTCGGCCCGGGGGGGGGGGGATGTTTAAAACGGAGTGGGCCTGCATCGCTGCAAAAAAGTTAAGAATCCCTGCCCTAGAGCATTTACTAAGATACCCCCCCCCCTTTTTTTTTCAAACATTGTTTTTCTTTCCCACTTCACGTGGTAGTTCTAATTCTTTTAAATTTTATTGGGCCCGGGGGGGGGGGGATGTTTAAAACGGAGTGGGCCTGCATCGCTGCAAAAAAGTTAAGAATCCCTGCCCTAGAGCATTTACTAAGATACCCCCCCCCCTTTTTTTTTTCAAACATTGTTTTTCGTTCCCACTTCACGTGGTAGTTCTAATTCTATTACTCCCGGGTCCACATTTAGCCATTAATTCTCACGACTTCAATTGTAACTTCATCCCGATTCTCCTTCTACTGTGCGTCCTGTAACTTGATCATAGGCCATTTTTCGGACCTCGCATACCTACTGTACTGATTCTCTCAGTGGTAGTGGTTTAAACATAAAAGAATTATAATTATTGTAATAAAAAAAGGTTAAAAATGTCTGTAATTTAGGGTTATTAAGTGCAATTCTTTACTTCATTATTCCACTTTTCGTGTGACTCCCATTGCTTAAGCTACATCCACCCCACCCCCCCTCCTTCTCCTCGTCACATATCGTCACAAAAATCTGACCTCCCCACCCTCTTTTAAACGCGTGACGTCACTTATGGAGTGCCCTTGAAAGGTACCATTTACAACTCTTTGCAATGTCTTCTTTTATAATTTATTTATTTCGCTTTATTTGTTAACACTTTTTTTTTCTAGGGCCAGGGGCTGTAGAGTTGACTCCCCCTACCCGGCGAGCTGCCTGAAAGAAACACTGATACTGATTGCCAACGATAGATAAATAAAAAATACCGATTGACAAGAATAATGGGATTTAAAGGTTTGGCTAATTATCGGGAGTGGCTTTTTTTTTTTTAATAATGCAGAATTTAGAATCGAAAACTGATTCTAAATTTGCATTAAAACATGTCGATTTTAGAACACAAAAGTTTTATTTTCCATAATTATCTGTTGTTGTTTCTTGTTATTTTGTATATCTGCCGAAGAAGGCGTTTAGCCGAGACATACGTTGAATTGACCTCAAGCCTAAACGAATCTTGTTAGATAATTTATTTAAAACTTATCACAAATAGCCTGCAAATCCCTTAAAATGAAAATGGATGCTTTAAATAGCATCTATGTAGTTCAGAAATCATGCTGCTTGCATGACCTGGCGCCGTCCTACCTCAAAGTGCTGATGACGCCTTATGTACCCATTAGATCACTCCGTTCATCCGATAGTGGGACACTCTGGATAACACGAGTCCGCCTTGGGACCCACGGAAGGCGCACTTTCGCCTTTGCTGGCCCAAGAATCTGGAACGCCCTTCCTGTCGTTCTCAGAAACAGACAGACATTGCAGTCTTTCAAAACTGAGGTGAAAACACATCTTTTTCCCACTCAACTGCTGGGGTGATATAGTCTACCTTCTTGTTTTCAGCTTGCTCATATGGCTATGGCTTGTATGGTTATTGTGCATTGGCTTGTATGTAGATTTTGCATTGTCGCGTTTTTTATTTTAATGTGGAAAAATATAAATTATCATATATGGTTGACTTTGTACCGAACTTCGTGCCTTAATGGGATGGAGCGTGTTTTTGAAAAGAACTTTATTATTATTAAGTCTGTAGATTCACCATCAACTTATTGGAAATTAATTTTTTGGCTTACAATAAAGCTACAGCAACAACTTGTTCCAGACGGAAATGACGTATTTTTGCGGCCTTCCTATGTTTCTGCTTAGAAGTCAAGAAGTAGTTAAGCCAAAAGAAATTAAAGAGTCGATTTGTTCGATTTTAACTGTTTTATTAACTTGGAGTTTAATTCTTTTATAATCTTTGTGCTACTATTTAATTTACTTTACCCTACACTAGGCCTAATTATTGAAAGAGATGAAAAAGTTGCAAGGTAACATCTGACTCTTTGAAATCTTTGATCAACAGTTGTTTAATGAATGTTTAGATGTTTTTAGGCTGTTTTAGAGTAATTTAGACAGTTCTTAGTTTTAGTTTTACTAACTTAACTAACTAGGACCAGGAGTAGGAGCTATCTAGGCCTAGCCTAGCGGCCGCTAGCCTTTACTGATTAATAGTATTTTTAGTAATAATTTATTTGAGACTAAGAGTAAGACTTTGACACTTTAGATTTAGTTAGCAAGTTAGGGCTAGGCTAAGCTAAGCGGGTCCAATTTATCAATTAAGGCAATTAGTATAGACTATAGACTTAAGTGCCAAAAAATTGCAGTTTTAATTTAATGAATGTCAGACTATTTTACAAGATTTAATTTCAAATTGAAACAAAATTTTTACTCACTTACTGATTACAGGTTACAGACTCACATAATTTGTCATAATTTTATATGAAATATGCATAGTGCATAGGCATAGGCCTATTTATATTCTATATTTATATAATTATTTATTATAAACAAATTATGATAGATCAGAGATCATCACTGATCGTGAAATTAAATTGAAATATTAGCCAATATTGTACGCTTGAAGTTTCGCTCCTGGGATTCTGATGAATGATTTCCCCTTTGTTTAGCTGCGATTTGTTACTAGAGTTAACTTTTGTCTTTTTTTATATTAATACGCCATGGATTGTTTTTGACTGATGGTTTTTTTAAATTAATATAGGGCATTAATATTTCATTGGAGGGTTAATTATAAACATATTTCAAAACATCAAGGCCATTTTTTACTGCCATTTTGACTGAGACGTCTAAAATTTATTTTGACTTTTCTTTCTTTTTTTTTTTTCTACATCTTTTGGAATTATAATAAAGTGTGTAAAAGTTTTTTGATTAAACTTTAAGTTGGGTTTTCATGATTTTGAATATTGTAAAAATAATTATAATCTTGTTATTCAAATTTACAATTTTCTCAGTAGTGTGTAACTGTAGCATGCATACATATGGTATTAGGATTCATTTTAAGTCATAGATTATAGGTTTGAAGATTTACGCTACAGTTTGGGGGGGAGGCCTAAATTTAGGGATAAATTTACCCTTAAGTTGACGGGGATTAAATTTTGGGGTGAGTTTGCACTCGAGTTAGGGATGCTGTCTTGGCATTTAGGTTAGGTAGAGTTGTAAATTTTAGATTTGAAATTTATTTACAAGCAAAACAATTACACTTCGTGATTTTTAAAATTAATTTTTAAAATTTTTATCTTTTGAAATTTCTTAAATGTGCTGAATTTATAGCAGGCATGTTTTTGCACTACTTTTTTTTCCAAACGACTGCCCTCTTCAATGCCATCACATGCCTGGTGTCATGGCAACAAATATGGCTGCCATGTTAAAAAAGTACCTCAAAAACACGTCTAGCGTACTATTACTGACCCATTTACCATTTATATTTTTTAATTATTAAGCGTTTTCATGCCAAAGTGCAAGGGAAAAAAATCATTTGTGGCTAAGATTACTGAACAAATAAGATGCGCTTATATGTGGCTGAAGTTGAGGATAAGTTTTTATTTATTTGTAGAATTTTAATAAAACAATACATGAAAACTGTATGCATGATAAGTAATTTGAAGGGACCATCCATAAAATTGGTCATAAATGATGTCACACATTGGGGGTATGGTCCATGAATTGGTGATAATGTATTGTGAGCATGTAAAAATTGTGTGACTAATTTGTGATGATGAGGGGATGGGGTCCAAAATCTGCCAAAATAGCTGAACACCATTATGGATGGCCCCCAAAAAGGCAAAGTTTCCCATATAAACATGAAATTAAATCAAAGTTACAAAACATTTGATTAACCATACAATAATTTTATATCCCCTGAAAATAGACAAGGAAAGATACTTTTCTTCAAAAAATTATATTTTAATTTTGACCTGTATGACTGATGTTCATTTTTTTCTTTAATTACCTTTCTATGTTATTTTCATTAGGCAAAAACATTTTTAAGAAGAAAGAAGAAACATTGACAAATTATATGAAGATATAGGAGATTTCTCTAAATGTGTGACTCAGATGCTGACCCACACTTAGTGGGATGCAGAGTACAGCAAGGAAAGCTGTCAGAAATATTAAATTCTAGTACTTCTGTAAGTGATCTAAGTGAGGCAGCCTCTGACATGAGCCTGTCTACATCACCTGGTAGTGATATTCCTTCGCAGACACATAAAGACTTCATACCACCATCATCTGCAAATGTAAGCATCAATGCACAACAACCCAGAAAAAGAGTTGTTGTACGGCAGTTGTCATCAAATCCTTATTTAACCAGTTCTGAGATGTCTCCATCAGACGATCATCCAGTTATTGTCGGTTCTCATTCTTTTGCTGCAGGAGACAGTAGACTTTATGCTAATGGAGGCTCATTTCCTGATAACTGTTTATCTGAGCTACTGAGTAAAGAATTATCTCAGAAAGCCAATTCTTATCCTCTGACATCAACCTGCTTTTGGGAGAGTGATGAGGAAGAAGATGATAATGGGAATGATGACCTCAAAAACTTGAAGCATGTCATACTAGACAATAGTTATAAAAAATCTAATCATGACATTGTAGTTGACAAAGTAACTCAATTTCCTGGTCAGTTAAACCACAAAGATACTTCCTTACTCCCTCCCAACATACCCAGAGAAACACCCAAAGCAGGGGTTAGTCCTACAGCTTTCGACAGTGTACAAGAACTAAATTATCCAAAAAATTACCTTCAAGATCAGCAACTGGAACTTCATGAGCAACAATATCTTTGCCATCAGAGCCATCATCATTTCCATCACCAATACCAGCAGCATCATGATAAGCAATCTCATTCAAACATACAACCTGAAAATGTTGGCGAAATCCTACCTGAAACTAACAAAATCAATGGGTTTAAACGACTTCCCAACCAGAATGAGCACCATTCGGGCAATGTCACTGCTCAGCTATATTCCAACCATCCACAAGACATTGCTTCTTCCAGCCCTCCAAAAAGTCGAGAAATAAACTCTTGGGGCCATTTTTATAAGCCTACTGCAGAAAGCCATTATAAATACAGGCGTAGTCATTACTCAAGTGACAGTGAAGAGGAAGAAATCTCGTCTAATAAAACAGAAGAGGCTAAAGAGAGCAGCACCAAAGTTTCCTTGTGCAAAACTCACAAGTTGCCATGCAAATGTAACCATCAGGATCGACCCGATTCTCAGGTTTTTATACACAATAACAATGCAAACATTAAACAGGCTCGGGGCATGGACAAAAAGTCAATGACGCATAATGGTATGAAACCCCATGAATTTAAGGAAAGATTTCAGGTAAATATTTATTATTCTTTTTATTTTATTTTTGTGACAAAATACTGTAAATCTCTAATTGTTATGTATTTTTAATAATTAGCAAAGGTTAACAAGTCCTATCTATGGATGGCTCATAAATGTAATCGATTCATTTTAGGAAATTATTTATTTAATTTATATAAATAATTTTTATTGTTTTTTTGTGTCATTGCAGTTAATAAAAAAGTGGTTTTCTGAGTGCAATGACGGACAGAAAAATATTGTCTTAAAAGGATTGTTAGTAAGTATTCTTATGCAACTAATTAACTTAATGTGCTTAAATTTTCATACAGTATTAAACAATAACATTAATTAAACTTGTGTTTGAGATCCAATCCCAAATTATTGTCTTCAATAAAAAGCTTGGGCCAGAGTCTGGCAGACATTCTAACATTTAAAACAAATTGAATTTCTAAAGTTAAACAGAAAGTGAGAGGCTTTTGCAAACCATTCTTTTATTATATATATTAGTTCACCAATGTCTAAATGTGGAAATTCTTGGTTAGTAGCAGGAAGCTATTTACTAAGTAATGTATCAATGTCCTTAAAATATGGGGGATAACATGTCATTAAAAATTAAACAACAAAAAAGGTTTTTAAGGAATAAAAGGAATGCTGATTTATTTGTTGGTAGTGATGTCATAAGAGTATTTTTTTTATATATTTGCTATGGAAAAACTGATCCCAAGCTTATTGCTGGTCATGAGTAATGATGAATAAATACAGAGTTATTGCACAAAATATGTGAATTATATGTGCGAATCGTTTTTGTTCTCTAAAATCTATTGAATAAATAAATAAAATAAAGTCTTTCATTTTCTACTCAGCATATGTGTGAACTCCCTCAACTACATCTATTGTCTGTGCACATGTCCAAAGAGTTGCATCATGGATGTCCATCAAATTGTGAAGATATTATTACCTGGCTTCCCCCAGCCCTGGCAACCAAAGTTATTTCTTATCTTGACCCTGGTAAGTGAATAGGAAGGGAATTTTTTATTATATTGGTAATAGTATCACCTGTTACATTATATTGAAAGGATACTAATAGCTTATTCAGTTCTCATGCATTGATTGATGATTGAGAATACCATTCCTGTTTATCAACATCTTCAGTGGGAGCTGTGTGCAGGGTCAGGTCCTATTCCACAGATCTTTCTCTATTGCTCCTTCTGTGGTTTTGCTTTCCCTGGGCTGTTAAATTCAGTGCAGATAATGTTTCAGTTTAATTTTATTAAAAATACTAGAAATAACCTGACAAACAATGATAGCGGCAGTGTATGAACTTCCAATCTACTAAACAAAACTTGCACTCAAGTAGTGCACTTCATATGAGAATCCCAATTAGTACGAACACGTCGTTTCAGTTTCAGCCATACACATATACCTTGAGATTTATTATTTGTGATTTTGTACATAAATGAATTAATTTAAAATTAATATGTTTGATCTTATTCCCCCATGATAATATATTCTTAGATGCTAATGTTACAAATGATGAAAGATTTAAAATTATATTTTAAAACCCACAAAATATGGGTATCCTTCCACCTCATAAAAAACATAGCCAAGTTTCATCTGACATTAGTACAAAGTTATTTGTATTTAACACACATTTACTGTTGTTAAAACCCACAGTCAGTTTGTGTCGTGCTGCACAAGTGTGTAAAGTTTGGCGTCAGCTTGCAGAAGATCAGTCCCTCTGGCGGAGATTTTGTTGTGAGACCAAATGGCGATTGTCTAAGGCAGCCGAGCATAAACAGGTTATCAGCCATATGTCCCCAGAAGGAAGCATACAGGTGCTTATAGTTATAAAGTTTTTATCTTAATGCTTCTGTGTCACATTGATCAGTTTTGACATATTTAATAGTAAATGCTGTAATTTAATATGACAGAAGTAAGATTGGTTTAAGGACTTGTTAAGTCAATTAATTTAATTACAACAGAAATAGAAAAATAATTGTGTTTATTTTTAACAGTGGAAAAATGTATTTGCTGAAAGATTCCGATTACGGAACAACTGGCTAAAAGGAAGATGCACTGTGAGAACCTTTGAAGGTCATTTACAAGGTAATTAAAGTTCAAAATTATTTTGATTATAAATTGTGTTGTTTCTTTTTTTTTCTTTTTTTTTAAATAATGTTTCACCATTACTTTATTGATGACATTTGAAGCTTTTAATTGTTCAAGACTCTGAGAATATATTGCTTCCTGAGACATGCAGTTGGCCCTGTAATGACATGGTAGCCTATCTTACATAGGAAGTAGAATGAGTTCTCATGATGTTCCTTGGGTTGCCCAAAGTGATGAGTAAAATAGCTGGAAGGAATGGACATTAACTATTCCTGGGGAAGAGGGATCCCTGAATAGAATAAGCTCGATCCCTGAATAGAATAATCTCAGCTGCTAAAGTCAGCAGATAACTTGACTTGGAATATTTATCATTTAACTACTCTCTATAGGCACAATGGGCCATATGCAACAAAAAAGAAAAAAATATTATTGACATAAATAAATAGAAGATGGATAGATATGTAAAAATTTATCAGCATATAGACAATAATTGAATGAATTTACACTAGGAAATGTTTTGATCCCTGTTCATATAAATATATATGTTTCACCATGTGTTATTTATTTTTATTTCCATCTTTATAAACATTGCAAACTGAAATGGAAATTATTTCTACATCTATTCTCTAGGAATATCCTGTGTTCAATTTGATGACTCCAGGATTGTTAGCGGATCATCTGATAAGACCATCAAGGTAACATTGTCTTTATTATTTATTTTTCTCATTAATTATGTAGATGAAATAAGATGTCAAATTTGTTCCACTGGAAATTTTACTTTCTTAGCCCTGAATGCATGGCTTAAATTAGTCAGCTATGTCAGAAAGGGATTGAAAAATAAAGGGGGAAAAACAACCAAAATCCAAATCATATTAAAATTGTAGTTTAGAGGGAGTATAAAGAGCTTTGAAATGTGTGATAATATTTTTGTTTACAGGTCTGGAATATGAGAACCAATGCCCCATGGTCAGTACAAACATTAATGGGGCATCATGGCACTGTTCGATGTTTACATCTTGAGGGGAACCGATTAGTTAGTGGCTCATGTGACAAAACTATTAAGGTCAGTATGTGAGAAATAAATTAAATGGAATAAATATTTAAACTCAATTTTCTACTTTAATGAAAAAAACAGAAATCAAAATACCTCTTTCAACTGCCCTAAATACGTAGGGAATAATTTGTATAAGATTTACCAAATTCTTATTTTTTTTACAATGTTATTTTATTTATTGTTGAATACTTCCCTGTCTGTTGGAAAGATATATAGTTATTCTGATTTCCCTATCAGCATTGCACAGAGAACAAAGTTAAGCCACAGGATGGCAGGGTTTTGTATTGGAAAAATTACTTTTAATATGTCTAAAGAATTGAAATTGTTCATTTAATCAGCATATGTTTTATATTTACTGTCTGTGTGTTTATACAAAATGCTGAAAATGAATATACCCAGTGTAATCATAGCAAAATTCCATATATTGGATCAATAAAGGAATCTTTGTATTATTAGGTTTGGGACTTGTCCACGCAAGAGAGCTGGTCATCTATTGCATGTAAGGTGACCATGACTGGCCATACAGACACTGTGAGATGCCTGCAGGTAGGCGTCCCTTGACATATTTATTTTGTGGTTTGGTATCCTGAAGTGATGATGTTTTTTTTACTGGAATTATATTTTACATTTTTTTTAATGCTATTTAAGTTATTACAAAATCAGTGTCAAGATGTTTTTGACATTTTAATTTTTCATTGTTTTTGCCAGGCAGATGATGACAAGGTGATAAGCGGTTCATATGATAAGACATTAAAAATTTGGGATTTAAAATCTGGGAAGCTGAGGATCACTCTAAGGTGATATTTTAAATTTGATGGTAACATTTCATTTAAAACTAATGTAATTCATTTGATCTTTAGTTTCATTGCATCTATCTCAACTAGGCAAACAATACATTTCTTTTTCATATTGCTATTTATTTTTACCTTGTTGTAAATTCTTTTATTTTTTTAAAAATGCATTCCATGCTTAATAGTTCTTATTCTGGACACATAGTCCTTCCTTAGAAAAACAAACAGAATTGTATGTTTAAATATTATGTGACATAGGTTCAGATGATATTTCTTTTTTTCTTCTAATAAGTTGAAAAGACAGTTTAGGAAAAAAGATAACTATCTATTGAGTTGCAAAAACTATTCTAATGTTTTTATCATTATATTGCTATTTCTTTCAGATGTCAAAAAGGAAATTATATCTCAATATGTACTTTAAGCTACTGCTATATCATTATATCATGCCTAGTTAGCTTTATAGAAGATTATGGTATTATAGGTTTATGGGTAAAAATTTTAAAAATTATTTGAGATCTCCATTGTTGCCAAAATTTATGTTGCATGTTTTTCTTAACAATTTACAGAGGACATCAGGCATCAGTATTGTGTGTTCACTTTAGTGAAACCAAAATTGTATCAGGATCTGCAGACAAAACTATCAATGTAAGAATATGTGTAAAAGAGATTTTATATAACATCATACCCTAGTTAACAGGGCTTTGCTCTTCATCGCTGATATTTTTTTTATATATTTAAGGCACCCTACATGTATTTGCTAGTTAAAATAGTCGATGCATCATTTTAAGATGAATTTCACTTACATAAGATATATTTGAAATAAGTTTCATTATCTAGAGTTATAGAGCCATTTATTCACTATTTCCACACTGTTTTTCCTCCAGGTTTGGAACTATGAGGGTCACTGTGTAATGACTCTCAGAGGTCATCAAGATGCTGTTACCTGTCTTATGTTTGATTCCACAAGAATAGTCAGTGGGTCCCTTGACCATAATCTTAAATTCTGGGACATTCACACGGGCAAATGTTTAAATACAATTGACTGGAAGGAGGCAGAGGGTCACACAGATGTAATTAGATGTCTTCAAGCAGATAGTTGGAGGGTGGTTAGTGCCGCGGATGATAAAACCATAAAGGTATGCTATACTTTAGATCTGTAGTTTTTCTAAGGATTAACAATCATATTTTAAAAAAGGGTAACTTGTGTGTTTTACCAGGGAAGGTTATTATTTATCTGATAACAATTTTAAAAACACCTGCAGATATTGTATCTGAAATCTTTGGAGTGAGTAAGAGTAAGACATGTAACTACTATGATTGTTCCACAGGTCTGGAATCTAGCAACCGGTGAAAGGCTGGTCACTCTGAGAAACCACACAGATGGAGTTACCTGTCTACAGTTCAATGACTTTATAATAGTATCAGGATCCTATGACAAAAGTGTTAAACTATGGGACTTCAGCTGCTGCTAGCACCCTCGAAAAACAAAATTGGATGGTTCTAGCACTAAATTTCTTAAACCAAATGGACCTGCACCTTGTGTTGGAGAATGCTAGAACTCTAGTGAGATGACTTGGTTTCTACTCTTCAGCATGGTCATATAATTTGCTACTTTGTGTAACTTTGTTTATTCTAGGTCCAGAGGAAGGAATTTTAATTCTAGGGAAATCTTGTACATATTCATTTAGTAAATCATTGGAACAAAATATGATATGAATTTTGAGTATTTTTAAAACAAGAATGAACTTTTCAATTGTTTGTAGTGTGTAGATTGAACTCATTTCCTGTTGAGGGAAGTATTTTCCAAAGATGAAAAAAATATATATACATTGCTGCTATGCTAGTCACCTTTGTGTAATTTTGTTGTAAATTTTAAATTGTTCAGTCCCCCACATGTTTTAAAATTGATTTTTTTTAATATAGAAAAAGTCCAAACCATTTTACATATGTTTAAACACTTATAAATCTTTATTTTACACAGTTAGTGGTGGAAATCTGTGAAGGAGCCTTGGTATCAAAATGTCTTCTTTTTTTTTTTGTGTAGTTGTTGATGTGTTTGTGTTTGCAAATGAGGGTTTGTGCTATAAGTTTTAAGGAATTTTTTTTAATATAGAAAAAGTCCAAACCATTTTACATATGTTTAAACACTTATAAATCTTTATTTTAGACAGTTAGTGGTGGAAATCTGTGAAGGAGCCTTGGTATCAAAATGTCTTCTTTTTTTTTTTTGTGTAGTTGTTGATGTGTTTGTGTTTGCAAATGAGAGTTTGTGCTATAAGTTATAAGGGAAGTTGTACAACAAGGCTGTGAGATTATATTTGAACATTGTTGAGTCCCAGAGACAGAATTTTAATCATGCATTTAATTAAAATCTATTTTATTGTTGATGGATCTTTTATCTGCATAATAGTATTATTGTCCCAGCAATGCTCACTTTAGCATCATTAGTCACCACCTGGATAATAATCAGTCAAGAGCTTGCAACTTCACGTCATTAACCTCAGCATTCATGTTTCATATATTCCATTGAGGAAGAGGAAAAAATTCGATAACCGAAATTCTTACCTACCCGGTACCGCTCACTCAAATATTGCTGATGAGTTTTCAAGATATCTTTGCCATGTTCCATAGAAAACTGATATGTAAAAAAGAAGTCATTGATGTGAAAAAAGGTGCTTCAGTCATTTGGACGTATTTTTACCCAAAAGATTTGAGGAAGGCATACAAATTCTGTTAAGAACTTTTAATTTACCATTATTTATTCTACTCTATTAAAGTATGTTCACACTGGAGATTTGTTGAAACAAATAATTTCATGTTGAGAATCCATGGGACAGATATCCCACCTAGGTGTTCACACTGAGCAAGCACAGCTATGGCAACTGAAGCAGAACGTTTGATTATATATACCCATGTTAAATGTATGGGTGGCCCAGGCTGTGGCTGCATGTAGCTCTTTAAATGAATACGTTTGGCTTTTTTCTTTTAAATAATGATTTTACTAATAACAGCATATGCAAGCAAAAAGTAACAGAATTATTTTTGTAGAAAATACTTGAATTAATTACATTTTAAAAACAAGAAATTTTTCCTCTAGAACTAGAATCTTTTCTTGTCTTGCCCACACCAATAACAATCAAACTTGAAATTTATTAGGCAAATTTTAATATGCGAACTGCAAATATGGCTAATATTCCATACAACTATTAAACAGTCATCAGATAGTAAGTTTGTGTTTTTTTGGTGACCACTCCATTTTCTTCCCATTGGTATGTTGCTAATCTGTCAGCAGATAACTCATGTGCATTGATAAAAATATGATGGGATTATTTTTGTATATTTCCAGCATACAATACACTCAACAAACCCGGGACAATCAAATCTTTTGGCCCAGTTTTGTTAGCACCTGGTTACAGAAAGTTGAGGATTAAATTAAAAATGTATGAAGTAAGCGCAACTTTACAGTACTGTATACAAGTAGCAACATTAGTCGTTAAAAGAGTTCACTGTTGATTTCTTTAATGCTCCAGCCCATTTCAATACACTACAGATAGTAACTTCCACGTTAAGATTGTACATAGTTATATTTGAGCTGCTGAGTCAGTCAGGATGTTCGGGATGCAGTGTAACAATTTGTGTTGCTTCAACAACAAAGCCTACAGTTAGAATGAAACAAGGTCAATAGTCTCCTAACTGCTTCTCAATAAAACCCATTTTCACCATGGTACTAATATAATGGTGACATGATCATAATTGTGTTGGTTTTTTTAATCAGTATTTTCCTGTGTGCCATGATATTTTTGCACCCGTCAATCCTATACTTAAACATTTGCTTCACAACAAAAAGTACTTGTGTATTAATGAACTTAATATTAAACTGATTCCTATAGCTAAGTCTAGCTAAGTAATTTTTCTGCACAGAATTCAACATTATTCTGTGAGCACCGATGATATTTAATTTAACTCATCTGTGATTTAAATTCCTAGATTCACTGTCTGGAAAAAAAGGGGAACCTTTTTATAATGATTTTTCAATAAAGAGTCTGTTTTGAAGTTGAATCTAATGGTGGACACTTTGAACGCAAATTATAGTTTAATAAAACTTTTAACAATTAAAAAAATGTATAATTACTATTAGATTTCATCATTATATGAAGGGCTCCCATTTTTTTCCAGACACAGTGTATAATAAATGTGCTCATGGCTGATATCCCCCCCCCCCCAAACCCAAAAATTTCTTTAAAACTTTGATCTATTTTACTTCTCTCCTGGTGTATCTGTCAGCCGCTGACAACTCACAAACAGATAAATGTCCACTTTATCAAATGTTTCTTTCATCACCTTTAATATCCAAGCTTTTAAAATGAACTTTTCATATTGTTGTTATGGTGACTTTAGACTGATATAGAGAACAGATCTAGTCAACATAAAAATAAAACAACACACAGTGGCTATTGATTTTCTAATATTGCTCAAATCCCAAAGCTTAGCAAAATTACCTGATTCCATTACTGTCCAATATGATGTCAGTGTATTTTGTTGTAATATTTATAACTCATCTCATATTTGTTCAGTCTTATTTAAATGGCTGTACCCAACATTGAGCTCCCTAAGCAATAAGTCATTGATTTAATGTTGTCATGGAGTAAGTAGATGTAGGCTGCAAGTAGATATTGGCTTATGCTCCACGTATTGTTTATGTCACAGGTAAATGTTGGTGTATTTTTCCCACATATGTAATAGTGTACGCTATAATGTTTAATGTTGTTGATTCATTTCCTGTTGTCAAACTGGATTTTATGTGATACAATCAGTTACTGATGTTTATATTATTTATAGAATTTTTTCTTTTCTTGATATTAACACATTTTGGTGTTGAGTTTGTTCAGGAGAGGTTGACCCACATAGCATGGAAAATAGTTACATGACAGTTTCAACTCTATATCTCATACCCCAATCTCAGAAACAAATTTTCAATTTAGGCAATATTACTGGTGCTGGAATGAACTGAGGTGAAAATTCTTTAGCCAGGCACTCACAATGAACATTATCCCTGGCCCTGTCTCCCACCTTCGTTGCCACAAGTGGGAGAGACATCAAGAGATATCTTTCCCCTCCCCCCCTAAATAGTTGAGAGCCCATTGGGTTAGCTAGGCTTGGAGTCTTTCCATTATACAAAACAACCCAGACCGAAGTCCACCTAGCTGGTTTTAGGAAGATCAAGCAACAATCTCATCAGAAGTAAAATTATTACAAAATCATAGTAGCTGTGCGTGTCCCCCCCCTCCTCCTATCACCCCACTCTCCCTTTGTACCTCCCAGCCAATCTCATTATTTTGTGTGCATGTTGTTGACTACTGGCAAGTAGGGTCTAAGTTCTCCCCTCTAGGTTCAATGTTATCTAATCTCTGCTATGGATCTAGCCATTGTGATACTTTTGAAACCACAACTTTTGTCTTTTTTTCATGTATTGTGTTATATTGATTTGAAAATAAATTATCATCTCTTGTAATCGGTATTGTTATCAATTTAAGTACTTAAGAAAAGTCATAATGCAACTATTTCTTTGCAGCACAAATGTAGAGGGGTTGTCTTTTATCTTTTACATTTCATCTCTTCAAAATCTTCAATTTTGAACAAATGTTTAGCAGGTATGGAATGTGTGTATATCAAAATGATGCAGATTATTATTTGGAAGAACGCAAATATTATTTAATGGGTTTAAAAGCATTAATAAAAAAATTTCAAAGAAATAAAGAAATTCATTACCAAATTGAAATAAGAGAGACAAAATTTCAAATTATAACTTAAAAGGTTATGTCTTTTCAGTTTGGTAACAAAATGAAGAACCTCTTCATATTTCACACAAACATATTTCTGAGCACAATGCATTCTAATTCTAATAAACATTTTAACGTTTTTCTGTCCCTTGGAAATGCCCATAGAAGATATTTTAAAAAATAATTGCTATTTGTATAGCTATATTAAAACTATAAAAAAAACATTGTTAATGAATGAAACCATTGGAAGATTAATTTAAGAGCTATTTTGTGACTAACTGAGGTCTCTCACTGGCGTTCATTTTTAATAAATCTCAAATTTGTGAAACACTTATTGCATGAACAGCATTTTTATAGCTACCATTGATAAAATGCAGTTAGAAAATAATACAAAAGCTATTATTAACCAATTTAAGGTCAAGTTTAATAAATCAATAAATGCTCTAGACTTAATAATCAAAGATGACCAAAAATTGTAAGAAACTTTGAAAATTTTACAAATTCATTCTTCACTATTTTGTGATTAGCTATCTTCAAGAGGGTTTATTTTGTTAGCATTAACAATTTTATAGCTTTGTATTTTGGATGCCAGAATCAAATTGTATTGACCATTTTGTCTGCATACTTAACAATATTTGCCATCTCCTGTATTTTCACCTGGTGGGCTTAATGCATGTCTTAAGCTACCAAATATTATTTAATCAGTATTTGTTGATGGTAACTTTCTGGAAACTATCCAGTTTCCATCAATTAATACATCATATATATTATCATATTGCTCAAGATTAATTATTCTTTCTTAGATTTTTTTTTTTTTTTCAAATTGCTAGTCTTAGAATTAATTCCTTCATTTTAGAAATATTTTGTTCCAATACCTAGTGATTGCAAATCTTCAAGATCTTTAGTTACAGTAACTCTGCTTC